CCAGAAGTTCTCATTACAGAAAAGGCCAAAGAACAAGAGACATTATCGCTAAGGCATACTGGATAATTGAGAAAGCCACAAATACCAACAAGAAGTCAGCCTGTGCTTTCTTTGATTATTGAAAGACCTTCGGTTGTGTCAACCATGAATGTCCTTAGAAAAATGGGAATCCCAGAATGTCCTTGTGGGAAGACTATACACAAGACAGGAAGCCACCGACCAGACAAAACGTGGCAAAATGGACCAGTTCCAGGTTGGCAAAGGAGTCAAAGACAAGACTCAATAGTCTCTCCTTAAATCATTTAATCATTTAAACTTTAAGCGGAATATATATCGAGGGAGGCTGGACTGGAAAATGATTTTTAAATTGGACAAAGATACATCAATGAACTGCAGTGTGTGTGTGATACCGCTCTGATAACTGAAAATGCACAAGATTTGAAAGCTCTGGTAAATGAATGTCAAAAGTCAAAGGGAAACAATAAGCCTACGATTTAAACATTTAAAAAATGACAACAGGTAGAACAACCAGCTTTAGATCTGACAGTGAAGATACTGAAGTGGTGGAGATAGCTTCTGCCTTTTAGGATCATCTATCAACCATAAAGGAAGCGTCAAGAAATATGCTGCAGGCTAGGACTTAGTTGGGTAGCAGTGAAGTTTTTGGAAAAAGATATTCAGAGGCTACGGCATACCAGAATCATGCAGGGAATGGTTTTCTCTGTAATATTTTATGGAAGCAAAAGTTGATCTTTGAAGGAAGAGGATATTGATGCCTTTGATGCAGAGGTGGGTTACTCCCGGTTCAGTCTGGATCGGGCAAACCAGTAGTGGCAGCGGTGGCAGGCTCCACCCACCTACCCGGACGCAGAAGTGGCAAGCGCTCCTGAACCAGTAGTAAAAAAATTGGCAATCCACCACTACTTTGATGTTGGAGAAGACTCTTGAAATTACCGTGAATAGCCAAGAAAGCAAATTTGGATTTGGATTTTATTCAACTTGTATGCTGCCCTATTCCCGAGGGACTCAGGGCGGCTCACAAACCGGAAGGGAAGGGAACAATACATAAAAAAGAAAACAAAAACAGACAACAATACAGAGCCAGTTTAAAAGGTCTCAACAAGCACACCAGTTCGAGTGGGGATGGAACTCAGCAGCCCCAGGCCTGCTGGAACAGCCAGATTTTAATGGCTTTACGGAAAGCCTGAAGGGTGGTGAGGGTCCAAATCTCCACAGGGAGATCGTTCCAGAGGGCCGGAGCAGCCACAGAGAAGGCCCTCCTCCGGGTGGTCGCCAGTCGGCATTGGCTGGTAGATGGAATTTGGAGGAGGCCTAGTTTGTGGGATCTAATAGGTCTTTGGGAGGTGATTGGCAGGAGGCGGTCTCTCAAGTACCCAGGTCCAATACCATGTAGGGCTTTATAAGTGACAACTAGCACCTTGAAGCGTATCCGGAGACCAATAGGCAGCCAGTGCAGCTCGCGGAGGATAGGTGTAACGTGGGTGTACCGAGGTGCACCCATAATCGCTCGCGCGGCTGCGTTCTGGACAAGCTGAAGTCTCCGAACGCTCTTCAAGGGCTGCAAAGTCATGATTGATAAAACAAATCAACCCAGGATTCTTATGGCAAAATTATTATTGGTGACATTAGGCAAAGACCAGAAATCTGTAATGCTGGGAACAATGGAAAAAGAGAGAGAGAAAGGACAACCAAGCAGAGCAAGGTTGACGGACTGAATTAGAATGTGGTGATGGCTGAACCACTAGAATACCTGAAAAGAGAGTTTAGGAAAAATATATCCCCCAGAAGGGTTACGTGGCTGGTTAGAATCAGCACCAGTTTGGTGGAATACAATCACATTGATCGATATATTGCCACAAATATTTTAAAAACAATTTAATAAACTAAACTTGGTGTATTCACAAAAAACGGAAAATTGGAAGTAATTGAATTTGACCCCAAGTTGCACTCTCCACCTCCCAAAATCCAAATCAGTATGACAAGTTAAATAGTTTTAAAAATGAGTCTTGATTATTAAATAGTTACAGGTAAGTCCTCAACTTAAAACCATTCATCCATGTAGTGACCGTTTTAAGTTAAACAACATTGAAAAAAGTGGCATAACCATTTTCCACACTCACAACCTTTGCGGCGTCCCCATGGTCACATGATCAAAATCCAGGCGCATGGGAACTGGCATTGTACTTATGACAGTTGCACTGTCCCGGGGTCATGTGATCACTATTTGTAATCTTCCCAGCCAGCTTCTTTTTACAAGCTAAGTCAGTGAGAAAACCAGATTCATTTAATTACTGCATGATTCACTTATCAATTGCAGTGATTCGCTTAACAACTGTGGCAGAAAAGATTGTAAAATGGAGCAAAAATCGCTTAGCAATTGCCTTGCTTAGAAAGAGACATTTTGGGCTCGATTGTGATCGTTAAACCAAGGACCACCTGTACTTTTTATTTTGAGCGGATCTCCATTTCACATGCTTGCTTCTTTCGTGGATTTTTTTTGAGTGCCTCAAGTGAGAGCTCTACTTCCAAGAAATCGGTCTATATGGTATAATGTCGTTCCAGAACTCAGAAAGTCTCAACAAAAATAATGGTTTTTAACACATTTTAGTTGTTGGTTGATAATGTAATCTGTCTTATATTTAATATTGCATTTGCATAATTATCCTATCTCCCACGACCCTTCTCCCAATTTCAGTTGGACATCTGATTAGCCACTCCATGTATCTGATAAAATGAGACATAGTTCGCAAAAATATTTTATATTTTTTAAAAAGTGTTCATAGGAAATAATGTATCAGCTATCTCCTACTTCCAGGATCTGAGTACATTTAGTTTGGCTGTAGAATACCTGTGAATGAGTTGAGCAAATATATATACATTCAGCAGTGATTTTTGCCTGGATACAGCAGAAATTCAGAAATTTTAATTGTTAAGGAAATGTACTTACTGGAACAAAGACTAGTTATACAATTACTTATTGATTAGTTCTGAAAAGCCATTTAGCCATCTTTCCAAATGCCAGGTATTTAAGGTGCTTCACATAATCCACACTAAATATATATATGAATCATAGATAATAACGTTCAATGCTGCTGAAAAAATAATGCATCCCGCCATTTCTTTTAAACCAATTTGAAAGTACAGATTAGTTCTGGGATAAAGGCCATTCAAGAACATGGAGTGCTGCTTCCCAGCTTAGCATCCTTCAGATGTGTCAGTCATCAGCCCTAGGATGGGGAAGCTAAGTTTAGCTGGAGAGACTAAAAACTGGGAGACTGTGAGTTCTAGTCCTGCCTTAGTCCCAAAGCCAGCTGGGTGATCGTGGGCCTGTCATACGCTCTTAGCCCTAGGAAATAGGAGGCAATGGTAAGTCATTGCCAAAGGCTTACCAAGAAAACTGCAGGGCCTTTTCCAGGCAGATGCCAAGAGTTAAAAAATGACTGAAATGTCACATACATTTCCACCCCAAATGCTCTTTTCTAAAAATAATTTCATTGCACTGCTTTCTCTGCATGAGGAGAAACATTACGTTCTTACGTTCTTACAATAACAGCCGTCGTGTAATTTGTCTTCTGGTACACCTCAGATCTGTTTTACTTGATTAGGAAACAAGACCTCTGTTGTTGAGGAACAAGACTGAGTATCATCTTATTAGTTTTGGGGAAAATAAATTTATTCACTGTATTTTGATGGGTTTGATAGACATGCAGAAAGGGGTTTAGGGGTGATAGAGGCAAGAATGCATGTGAAGATGAGACCAGAACAAAAGTCCCAGAAACGCAGTCAAGGAAGGAAATATATTTCAAAGAAAGAAAGAAGGAAAAAGAAGCAGAATCAACTATAAGAAGGAAAACTGAGCTGGCGATCACCCTTTGCTAGGCACAATCTCTCTGTTTTAGGTGAAATGTCCTTCCTTAATTATACACACTTGTCTTTCAGTGATGTTGTAAAGGTAATCTTGATTTACAGCCACAATTGAGATGAGAATTTCCATTGCTAAGCAAGGCAGTTGTTAAGTGAGTCACACCCCATTTTGTGCCCATTTTGTCACATTTGGTAAGCAAATCACTGCAGTCGTTAAGCGAATCTGCCTTCCACCCACCCCGTTGACTTTGCATGTCAGTTGCCAGCTTGGAAGGTTGCAAATGGCAAACACATGAACCAGGAATGTATATATGAGCTGGTCGCCAAGAACCTATATTTTGATCACATGACTATGGGGTTGCTGTGATAGTCACGTGAGGACTAAGCGTTAAGTAATTTCTTTCAATGCCACTGTAACTTCAACGTCACTAAACAAAATGGTTATAAGTAGAGGACTACCTATATGCATTGTATGTTTTAAGTAAAAATGACCCTTACTAAGAGAAGAAAATTCCAGTTTTGTGATAGTGATGCCACTTAAAATAATAATAATTTTATCACCAGATGGATATTGTATGTAACGTAGTGGAGGTCTCAGATATTATGGTACAGTGACATATTCATTTAGTGGATCACTTTGCTTAAAGGATGCAGAGTATAATATTAAAACAAAGTGATTCAGCAAGTGATTAGCCTGAATTTTATCAGGTTAAAAATGCATCTTAATGAAAGTGACATGTTTGTCTAATTCATACTTTAAGCCAGTGGCTCTTAAAGTGGGGGTAAATACTCCCAAGGGACTTGTACATATCCCGAGACTAATGGAGCAATTTATAATTGCTTGTTTGTGAGTTCCAGTTTCAGGCTGCCATTGTCAAGACGCTTGTATAAAAGAACCATCTGGTTGGTTGGTTTTTTTTGGTGGGGGTTAATGCCATTATGTCAGACTAGAAAAAGGAGTGATTGGGTCAAACCATTTAAGAACCACTACGGTAGTTTAAATGGTGACTTGCATTCAAGGGAGACATTTGCTTTGATCTGCTAACCCTTGGGGGGGGGGTGGAGGGGGGAGGAAATAGCTTGCTTTAATTTGTTTTCCACCTTATTTGTTTCAGTTCTCTCAAGTCAGACCCACCACAGCCCTCTGAAACGGTCTGTGTCCCTCACCCCACCCATGACTGTGCCTAGCCAGCCCCTTGGACACGGATGGATGTCTCATGAGGACTTGCGGGATAGGGGACCCCAGGGCATCCCTTCCGATCATGCCCCCCTGTCTCCGCAAAGCAGTGTAGCGTCTTCAGGCAGTGGTGGGAGTGAACATTTAGAAGATCAGACTTCTACTCGTAACACATTCCAGGAAGAAGGGAGTGGTATGAAAGGTGAGTGGAAAGTAATGAACGTTTTCCCTTCCTGTCCTGATTGCTTAACAGCATGTGTGCCGACATTCACACAAAGTCCTGGAGTTGTTTGAAACACATTCTTCAAAAACAGAATACGGAGACATTTTAATTCCATTTCTGACCTGAGGCTGCACTGCAGTTTAAAACTCTTCCATTTAAACAGGTGGATTTGCAGAAGTTATTCCTTTTTATTTATTAGCTGAGATGGGACACCTCCCTTAGGACAGCTATCAAGTTAGGTGAAAAAAATATCGCATTCTGCAATCCAAATGTCAATATAGAAAGCATGAAGCACATGTCAGCCCTCCCAGCCAAACCAGACAGAAAACCCAACCAAATGAACGAATTCTACTTAACTGTAAGGCTCTTTTAACAGAATCATGCAGGTCTGAAGGCACAAACTCCCTGCTTTCATTTTAACTGCTTGATCCATTAGGGCAGGTCTTTCTTAAGTTTCTTTCTCTGGCCATTGAGTGACTGTGGGGTCTTGCATCTCTTGCCTGTTTCCTAGACTCCATCCCCCCACTTTCCCCAATTTCATTCATTACAGTCCATTACACTGGATTTGTCCTTTGCATTGAACCATAACTTGGTTTATTTTGTTTTACTTATTATGTTGTGCAGGCAGGTAGTTGCTCTACACTTGATAAACACTGAATAATAAACCAGACTTTAGCAGAGCATGTGAGCCCACTCAGTAGAAAAAAAATTACATTTGGAATAGCTGAGAAAATAAGAGAGAATTGGGGTTTATGCATATCAAGCACACAGAAGAACACAAAGGGAAGAGAACGAATGAATCTTCTGGGGGAAGTGTGGAAGACCAGGCTGCTTAGCAAAATGGTAGGCACCTGTACGACTTTCTTTCCCTCCCATCTGAGCCTTCTCCCCAGCACAGCCAATAAAGCTACAACCTTGACATGGGTGTGAGGGAGAGGTGTGTGCTTTGGACTTCTGCAGCAAACAGTGTAGTAGTTGAACTGTTCTAGCTGAGAAACTGTAGTACACAACATGAACAACAAACACATTCTTGGCCTTGTCTTCTTAAGAGAATAACAGAGTTGGAAGGGACCTTGTAGATCTTCTAGTCCAATCCTCTGCTCAGGCAGGAAATCCTGTACCATTTCAGACAAAATGGTTGTCCAATCTTTTCTTTTAAAAACCTCCAGTAGTGGAGCCCCCACAATTTCTGAAGGCAAACTGTTCCACTGATTCATTCCATGTTGATTTTTCCATTCCCTAATTTTCAACCATAAGAATTCCTGGTGGTCTCCTCTTCAGGTACCAATTAGTCCTCCCTGCTCAGTGTCCAAACCAGGAAGTCTGATCTGATTGGGGAAGGGAGGATCATGTGGCAGAGGAATGTCTATTTTTAAAGCAGGAAAAAGGCAAAATGGGGATATTTAGAAATTCTGGATTGCATATCTCATAAGTCCAAACTACAAGGCTTGAATAATACATTATGGAAGTTACCCAGTCAGACACTGGGTGGGTGCTTGGTTGCCTCTTTCCAGCTTAATATCAGTTCAAAATGTTAAATGGAACTATCAGCCTCAAATGGTACAGGTAATAACCAACTTAAACAACAGTTCATTTAGTGACAGTTCAAAGTTACAACAGCACTGGGGAAAAGTGACTGATGACCATTGTAGCATCCCCGTGGTCATGTGATGAAAATTCAGAGGCATGGCGACCGATCCATATCTACTGTGTCCCAGGGTCATTTAATCACCTTTTGCAACCTTCTAAGTCAATGGGAAAGCCCCATTCATTTAACATCTGTGTCACCAACTTAAGAATTTCAGTGATTCACTTGACAAGTGTGTCAAGAAAGATGATGAAATGGGACAAAATTCAATTAACAACTTTCTCAATTAGCAGCAGAAATTTTGGGCTCAATTGTGATCATAAGCATGATCGGAAAGGAGTGCCACAATGGTCATAAGTGTGAAAAACGCTCACTTTTTCAGTGCCGTTGTAACATTGAACGATCAATAAATGAACGGTTGTAAGTCAAGCACTACCTGTATATAATTTGATAGTGCAAGTCTCTCCTATTCTTATGCAATTTCATTGAATAATACATATAATAGGTTTCCTGGACCTTATTCCTCCAGATGTGCATACACACCCTGTTTCCCTGAAAATAAGACCTCCCCGAATAATAAGCCCAATCGGGCTTTTGAGTCCATGCGCTAAAATAAGCCTTCCCCTGAAAATAAACCCTCCATGAAAATATTGCAACACAGCAGCAGCCATGAAGTGACCACGCTCACTGCCTCCTGCACCTCAAAAATAATTAAGACCTCCCCGAAAATAAGGCCAANTTTTTTTTGCACTTTCCAACTCCCAAAAACGGCCCGTTTTTCATGAAAATGGGCCCATTCCCCCCCCCAAAAAAAGATATGAATAGCCTTTAAGAGGCTTGCAGAGTGCTCCTGGGGGTGCCCTCCCCAATGAGCAAAAAACAGCCCATTTTTCACGAAAAGGGGCCCGTTTTTTTGTCAAAAGAAATTGCATGCATAACCTTTAGGAGGCTTACAGAGTACTCCTGGAGGCTGGTGGGGGGCAAAATTGAGCAAAAAACACCCCATTTTTTTCACTTATTTCTGCCCTCCCCAGCCTCCCTGAGCTCTCCGAAAGCCTCCTACAGGCTCTGCACGGCCATTTTGGTGAAGGGGGCGGGGTTTCAGGAGGCAAAAAATGCTGTACTTGCTCACCATATAAGACACATCCAGATATTCAGCCTCTTTTTTGAGGGAAAAGGGTATGTCTTATACTCTGAAAAATACGGTAATTTTATTTTGTTAACTTTGATACTGAAATGAAATTTTCATAACCAAGGAGTAAGTTTTGAATGCAGAAACAGAAAACAGGAAAAATTGATCCCCTGTTTACATGGAAGCTCACCTTGTTGGAAACAGGATGTTAATGTAGATGGCACCAAGCTGGTAGGAATATCTTTGATCTTATACTCTTATGATCTTATACTCTCTTTGATCTTATACTCCAATGTCATGGGTTCTCCCAGCAGAGGCTGGGAACTATATTTGTACGAAGTTCATAAGTTCCTTCAACCTTCCTAACAAAAATGACTAATAATTTCTAGATTGCAATTCAGTATATAAATATGTCAAAATTATTTCTAATTGAACATTAGAACAATCTTTTAAGTGAGAGTAAGGATCACATACAAATTATTGATGGAAACCATGAGCTCCTTTTCACTGTATATGCTGAAACAGAGACTAGAGAGCCATCTGTTAGGAGTTAATTTACATTGATAGGAGGATTTTCATCAATCCTCCTATCAATTTATTCTAGATTGGCTAAAAAATAGGAAATGATACGGAGGAGCATGGATTTAAATCCAGATTTCATAAAATAAGGATTTGAACCAAGAGCCAAGGTGGCGCAGTGGTTAAAAGCAGCACTGCAGGCTACTGCTAGATCAGCAGGTCAGCGGTTCAAATCTCACCGGCTCAGGGNTTTTTTTCATGAAAAAAGTGTGCCTTTGCACAAAAAGGTTGAAAAACACTGGTTTAGATAACAGTCAACAACAACAAGAACTTTCAAGCAAATGGAACCTTGAAACTTTATAACCAGGTTATTGAAAATGTTACAGTTTCAGTGTTCTCAGATGAGATTTTTCTAGCTATTGATTTGGCTGCTGGGTAACATGGAAAGCTTTAAAACATTCTAACCGGTCAATTTTTATAAAGTAACTTGTTAGAAAATTCAAAGCCAAGATGGAATTTAATGCTGAGGGCGCATCATTGAATGAATGCTCCTGTGTGTTCGAAAAATAAGTACTACGGAAAGACCTCAACTTACAAATGTCCGTTTAGTGGCAGTTTGAATTAGTCACAGCCTCAGAAATAATGATGGCCTGTGATGGCACTTCTGATCATTGCAAAACATGGCCTCACTCTCTGACAGCCATCTAATTACAATCTTGGGTTTTGGCAACCAGTTTGCACTTATGGCCACTTGCCAAGAGCCTTGTGATCATGTGATTACCATTTCTCTGATGACCTTCCTTAGAAGGTCACTGGGAAAGTTGGCAGGGAAGCTTGTAAGTTAATTGGCTACCTGCCAATGTTACCTGCCCAGGATAGCAGCTCCTGGCCTCTCATTTCTGGGGGTCTGGCTAAAAGAGCTCCCCGCTGAAGGATTTCGCATTTGTGCCTGCTTGAAGTTTGGCTGAAGAAATCACTTTTTCCACAGGCCTTGTGGGTGGGAATGTTAAGAACTGTTCCTTTTTGCATTCTAAAGTTTAATGAAAGTGAGTTCCATTTCTCTCAGGGACTTTGTTTTTATTATATTGTATTGGTATTTTAAACTATACAGTTTAACCTTATTTGTGTGAACAAAGTAAGCAAGCTGTTCAGAGTCAGCTTTGACTGGAGGGATATATAAGCCCTGTAACTAAACTAACAGAAAAATCAATAAAGTGGCCCTATTTTGTTCAGCATGCGAGCACCCAATTTGGAAAGGACAGGACTTGCTCGGCATTATACATTCTCATGTTGTCCAATCCCCCTCTGTCTGTATTCATGAGCATGCAGTCATGGGTAGCGCTCTCGCTCTCTCTCTCTCTCTCTCTCTCTCTCTCTCTCTCTCTCTCTCTCTCT